TGGTATTAATTGTGATTGATGCAATCTTAGACATTGACCGGGTCTGTGTTTAAAGATGACTGGCTCATGTTTCAATTGTCGAGAACAAGGTCATATGGTAAAAGATTGTCCTAAGGCTCGGGTCCAAACTAACAAAGGGAAAGGTAAACAACCAAGTACTAGTGGACGAGTCTTTGCATTACCTGGCAGCAAATCTCAAGCGAGTATGATTTCGGGTCATGTTAAACTAATTGATTTATCTGTTTATGTTTTGTTTGATACTGGTGCTACACACTCAATTGTTTCTGAACAATTAGAATCTCGATTAAAACCGTACGAGCAAACCACCGAATTTCCAGTGGTAATATCTACTCCAATGGGTGGTTCAATTTGTGTGCTAACTCGTTTTTCCAACTGTCCGTTGCTTATTGAGGACTGCATACGAGAGGTCACTCTTCTTACAATGCATATGTCCTACTTTGATTTAATATTGGGTATGGACTGGTTGTCACGCCACCGGGCAAGAATAGACTGTAATGCCAAACAAATTCTGTTTGGGGATATAGACAAGCCGGAGGCAATCTTCCAAGGAGGTACTCCAAAAGAAGATGTTAGTGCAGTAGTCTCTATTACTGTGAAACAATATACGTGGAAAAGCAATGAAAGTTTTCTTGCTGCTCTACAAGATCCCGAACATGTATTTCCTACTTCTGCATCCATACCTGTTGTTTCTGAATATCTTGATGTGTTTCCTGATGATTTACCGGGTATACCACCGGTACGGAAAGTTGAATTTACCATTGATCTAGTCCTAGGAGCTTCTCCTATATCCAGGGCTCCATACCGAATGACTCCAACTGAACTGAAAGAGCTTAAAACTAAACTCGATGATCTATTAAATAAAGGTTTCATTCGGCCCAGTGTTTCACCATGGGGAGCTCCAGTTCTTTTCGTTAAAAAGAAAGACGGTACGATGCGTCTTTGTGTCGATTATCGGGAACTTAACAAAGTAACGATCCGTAACAAGTATCCGTTGCCAAGAATCGATGATTTGTTCGATCAATTACAAGGGGCACAATACTTTTCCAAAATTGATATTCGGTCCGGGTAGCATCAACTTCGTATCCAAGATTCTGATATTACGAAAACCACATTTAGAACTCGCTATGGGCACTACAAATTCTTAGTAATGCCTTTTGGGCTAACTAATGCTCCAGCGGTTTTTATGGATCTTATGAATTGGGTTTTCAAGGATTATCTCGATGAATTTGTTATCGTGTTTATTAATGACATCTTGATTTTATCGAAGTCAAGAAAGCAACATGATCAACATCTTCAAATTGTTTTGAAGACTCTTCGAACAACAATGTTGTATGCAAAACATTTCAAATGCGAGTTCTGGCTCGATCAAGTGGCTTTTCTCGGACACATAATCTCCGTCGAAGGTGTCAAAGTCGATCCGGCAAAAATTGAAACCATCACTAATTGGTCACGACCTACGAACGTATCTGAAGTTCGTGGTTTTCTGGGTCTGGCTGGTTATTACAAACGATTCGTTGAAGGTTTCTCTAAAATATCGCTACCTTTGACCCGATTACTCTGAAAAAGAGTCAAATTCAATTGGGGTTCCGAACAAGAATATAGTTTTAAGGAATTGAAGCATCGATTGGTTACTGCACCTATTCTTGTATTGCCGTCTGGCACTGGTGGGTTTCAAGCTTACAGTGATGCTTCAAAAAAAGGTCTCGGTTGTGTTCTTATGCAACACGGAAAAATGATCGCATATGCTTCTCGTCAATTAAAGCCTTATGAGGTCAATTATCCGACTCATGATCTTGAATTGGCTACAGTGATCTTTGCACTCAAGATCTGGCGTCACTATTTGTATGGTGAGACCTGTGAAGTTTTCACTGACCACAAAAGCCTCAAATACATCTTTACTAAAAAAAGAGTTAAATATGCGTTAACGAAGGTGGCTCGAACTTCTGAAAGATTACGATGTTCGGATACAGTATCATTCGGGCAAAGCTAATGTAGTCGCTGACGCTTTAACCCGTAAATCTGTGGAACAAGTTTCTTCTTTAATTGTTTCTACAGAGTTAGCTTTGGAAATCCAACGGTTCGGACTAGAAATCTATCCGAGTTCGCAAACGGAAATTTTGTCGAATCTAATGGTAGAACCGACTCTAATCTCTTGGATCAAAAGAGCCCACAAGATGATAGTAAATTATAGGCAAATTTCCAGTAAGCACAAGAGAATTCTATTTCAGAGGTCAGAATCGATGATGATCACGTGTTGTGGTTTCAGGATCGTCTTTGTGTTCCGAATAACTCGGAGCTTGGATATCTAATTCTGACCGAAGCTCATAACTATATGTTTTTGGTTCATCCTGGCACAACAAAAATGTATTGTGATTTGAGAAACCATTTCTGGTTGATTGGAATGAAGCGAGATATCGCCGACTTTATAGCTCGTTGTCTCACATGTCAACAAGTTAAAATTGAACATCAACGTCCGGGTGGTATTCACCAATCGTTGAACATTCCAGTATGGAAATGGGAGCACATAACTATGGATTTCGTAGACGGATTACCCTGTACGATCTTGAAACACGATGCAATCTGGGTAGTGGTTGACCGACTCACAAAATCGGCTCATTTTCTTCCTGTCCGACAAACTTGGTCAATTGATAAGCTGACCGAAGTTTTCCAACGTGAGATTGTGTGTCTTCATGGCACACCTGTATCAATTACTCCGATTGAGACCCACATTTTACATCTCGATTTTGAGAAGGTTTACATAAAGTAAGCTTGACCTGTGAGAAATGGGTAGACATAAGAACGGGTATGCTAGACTTTAATTCTATCTACCGTTTTTCTGATCCATAATTGTTTTGAATTCTGATTTTCATGTTGTTTTATTTTAGAATGTCGAAACGTGGTCGCCCATGCAAATCCAGATCTCAACCTGAGGGTAACCCAAACCCCAATCCCAATCCAATGGGGGGAGGAAGTGAACCCAATATTGCTGATGTGGTCCGTCAGACCATGTCAAGTCTGATGCCTACATATCTACAGCAGGCTATTCAGGCTATGCAACAAGCAGCGCATAATCTTCCTTCAAACCCAAATCCTGTTCCTACACCAAATACTGGAAATCCTGCATCCAGTTCGGGTAACCCAACGGGTGAAATATATATATGACTTGAAAGGTTTAACAAGCAAAAATCTGAGTCCTTCTCAATTTCCATAGATTCTATTGATGCCGAACACTGGATTCGACACATAGAAAAGATTTTTAATGTCTTAGATGTTCCAGATCAGTATCGGGTCTGCTTGGCTACTTATATGTTCGAGAAAGAAGCCAATAACTGGTGGGAAACTTGCATCCAAACTGATCCGTTTGTTAAAGACTTATCTTGGAATACTTTCAAAGAATTTTTCTACAAGCAGTACTTTACCTCGGCTGATCGCGATGCCTATGTGCGGGAATATGCTACTATCCAGCAAGGCGTGGAAGAAACAGTTGCCGACTACATGGCGCGGTTTCTTAAATTTTCTCGTTTTGCAAGAAATACTGCAGGCACTCAAGTCCAACAAGCTGACAAATTTAAATGGACTTTGAACTCGAGGTAAACATGTATTTCTTATGTATTAAGTATGTGTTACATGCAATGTGTGGAATGGGGTGTTACAAGATGCAAGCTCATGGATCGTTAAAGGAAATAGTGTGAAGGGAACCACTCGATTACCTCGGATTATCGTAGGTTGTGATGTCGTATTTTATATTAAAATTAAAATTATGGCCTTGGATTTGTAGGGGAGACGCTAGCCACTTCAAAGATCGGTTTGGACTACGATATGTATTGTGAGTTACACGTGATTTAGTTTTAAAATAGTTGCAAGCTTTATTTATAATTATCCACAAGCTTGATTGAAGTTTCTCGAGATTTTTGATATGCTATATATGCGTGAAAAGTTAGATATTTTTATAATATGTGTTTCGAGTATTTGGTTGTCAACGGGGATGTACTATGGTATGATTTTATAAAGATGAGCATGCTTCGTGAGTTTGTCGAAGCCGTAAGTGCGGACATGCTGTGTGAGTTCGCCCATGACGCCGTTGCTTTATGATGTAGTCACCCACTGTACTATCTTTATTTTATTTAATTAATTTTCTTCATAGAATTCTCATAATTTCTTTTTAATTTAAAAAATAAGACCCGTCGAAAGACATTTCTAGCCAACTAACTTTTTTAGTTTTCACCTACATTCTTTGATCTCTCATCATGTGCCAACGTGGGATAACTAAAAGAACACTACAATTCAAAATCTAAAATACTCACATTTTATAATGTCACTCCAATACTCCGTACTTCTATCATCTTCTTTTTACTTAAATAAATCAAAGTCAATAAAATTTACTCTTGTACATGGTCTTAACATCATTTGTGCTAATCTGTATTGAGTACGTTATTTTGCTCTAATTATGTAATGTCAAGATATTGTAGGGGAAATGAGAGCTATAGTCACCTATGGGTTTAATAAAATCGATGTATCTTTATAACTCTTTGGTTGTGAGTGTAAGTTTCATTTTATGAAATAAGTATATCAATTTATTAAATGAGGATCCACCTATATATGAAATGACTCATTTATATATAAAGCATGCTTAAAACTTTCTCGTAGGATTAAAAGTGCAAACAACACAAGAAACATGGTGTTTCTGTCATCGCTAAAAATTCATTTATCATCATAAAGGTTTATAGCGATGTCATGTCGTCCCTACACTTTGTGGCTGAAACATTTCATTGCTAAAACCGCTTCGTCAATTCTCACTTTTCTTGTATTGAGTCCCAATTCGATGTGTAAAACATATCTTTAAAAAAGGAATCCTAAGTTCTTGCCCAAAAGTGTTTTTTGTTTTCTTATGTTTCTCCATATGCAATGAAAAACGTGTATGATGTGACAAGAAACACAAAAAAAAAGTGTATGATTTGTCAAGAAAGACAAGAAAAATATCTGCTGATAGATGAAAACATAAATTTTTATTTAATCTTATGTTTGCAACAGATCAATTCACAAAACTTAACATGCCTACTAGGATTTGACTTGTAGATGTTGTTGAGTTTTGCCAACATCAGCGTTAGTTGCTTTATTGGTACCAAGAGTCATCTGCTTTCTCCATGCTTCCCGACCAAAACATGTACATTGGCACAACATACACACAGGAAAAGCAAATGTAGGGCATTTAAGTTGGGGACAATCTCTCAATTTATGACATTGACAATCGGCATATGTTCCTTGAGGAAAGTTTATCATACCTGTAACAATTAAACATATGAAAAACATTCAAAAAGTAACATCGCAAGAACACATGAAGATAACAAAAAAAAAAATTAATTAACCTGAAGCAAAAATCAAAAACACAAGGAAGATTGCCATTTGTTGATATGATATATATCTCTTTTGTTGACTGATATGCTATCAATATTTCTGTCAATCTATATATAGATATTCACATGTATTGGTGTTCTACTCTTGAGAAGATGTTTTTCAAATAAATTAATTACAATTAAATGCTAAAGTTTGTTGGCCTACCAATTAAATATTGAGAATTGGTTGGTGTAGATAGAGAATATTTAAATGTTAAGATATTTCCTTTTATTATTTAAGGAAAAATATAAATTGACCAAAATATTAATAGCTATCAGTATTTAAGGTATTTATTTAATATTTTTTCCTTTATTACTTTTGCTACTTTTAATGTGATTTAATTTTTTATTTAAAAGTTTATATTTTATTTAAGACATTTAATGTAACATTTTTTCATATAATACTAAAATAATTAATTAATCTTTTAGGAAAGAATCGTGAACTTTTTATTCGTGGGAGTTATGAATTTTTTATTTATGGGGAATAAATAATTAAATGCATTTATGAGTTGAATTTGTTATAACTAAATTACACATTTACATTTCTATATTATACAAAATAATTATCTTAAATGAGTGACTAGTATTGCCTTTCACGGATCTCACAGATTATAGGATTCCCATTTGATTAACCCCTTATAGATAGAGGAAAGTTCATTTGCAAACTCATATTTTTTGTTCACATTAGGCGCAATCTCGCCTCTCTATTTTTTTTATCTAACAACTCACAATAAATAGAGTTTTTAAATAAAGTTATTAATCAAGGTGATTAGGGGTAAAAAAATGAAGTTAGTTTCAATTCCACTCCTACCATATTTGACTTTTTATTTTCTTTTTAATTAAAAATTTTTATCCCTTAAAGTTTAAAATAAATTATCTTAAAAATTACTTTTATTTTAATCAAACAAAATACATAAAAAAAGAAGAAGAATTTCATGTTATTTGATATGACATCCACTGACCGAGAACCCAGGGAGACCAAGCGAGAAAGCCCGAGTATCCATTCATTGACTTGATATATGTTTATATGTGTTAAACCATAACCTACCAACTTCATTTTCCATTTAGAACCTATCGATTGATTTATTATTTGTTTGTTTGTGTAAAACCATAGGCTACCTCTTTCACCTTTTATCGAGATGAATCATGAACCAATCGAGACCAATCAAGAAAACATTGTAACACCTCACACCACACATTGCATGTAACACATATTTCATTCACAAGGAATATATGTTTGTACACCACATAGGTCCCTCAGTACAAGAATCTACCATTACATAAGACATGGTCCAAAAATTCAAAATTCAATTCTTGTGCTCATCATCCTTCTTGTATCATATCAAAACTTTACATTATAGACAATCTTTATGTAGATATGCATAAAGGAAAATATCATATTTTCCTCTTCCCCTTACCGTTCGCACCTCCTGCAACAGATATTTAAAATCACAAAATGAGAGCTAGATCGGAAGGTCTAGTGAGATCCCTTTTTATGTTATTGCAGGGTGAGAATCACCAAAACTTTATTTAAAACAACTTTTCGTATATATAACAAATATATGAACAAGTAAAGCATAATACCAATACCTTCCCCATTCCAAAGCCACACTTTCGGCTATTAATTTAACATATCCAAACCCTAATGGATTTGAACCAACCAGGTTTCATGTAATGCCACTTTAAAACCTTTTTAATCAAAACAAGGTTTATTCAAAGTTTCAATTATCTCCTTCTCAATAACATCCAAACTACGATTTCCGATAAGATACCTAATTCTAAATCTCTAAATCATATAGAAATAAAGATTTCAAATCACAGTAATCTTATAGGATATAATAGTAAGAGTTATATTATATATCACACATACAAATGTCACCCTTATATCTAAAGGTACACCTCTCATTGATATGCCACACTTATCCCATAGTACACATCTCCTTGATATACCACCCTTATTTCCTCATCAGATCATTTTACCAAAACATTTCCAATTAGAACAGAGCGCAGTCATAAATGTCCTAACATAATTTTATCAGTTTGATATCATCTTTATCAAATATTCTTATTATTTATAAAAGAATATTAAAATAATGATTTGTTTGAACAATATTTTAGTCAAAGCACAAATCCGGTCAACATAGATTTGGCCGAACTTCATTTCCGGTCAAATCTTGACCGATATACTAATCCGAACAACAAGTCCTTTTGTCCGATTTACAAATCCGGACAACACAATCACTTGTCCGATTTACCAATCCGGACAACACAATCACTTGCCCGATTTATCAATCCGGACAATATTTAAAAATAAGTCCGATTAAAACACATTCGGACTATACTACACCGAGTAAGTCTTTGATCGATTTATGGCTAAACCGGGTAGCCTTTGATCGTATTCCTACTTCTCCGTTCAAAACCTTTGTCCGATTTAAAGATTTCAAAATCATACCATCTTTAGTCCAATCAACACTATAAACGGTTTAAGACTAAATCGGACAACACGTGACCGATTTATAACATAATCCGGACATCACTTGTCCGATTAAAACCAAGTCCAGGTAATTTATTCATAACTCACTTCTAAATATAAATCAAATTACTTTTCAAAATATTTAAACACACCTTTTACAATCTTTAGAAACAAGATTGAACCCAACATCAAATTCCAATCAAACAAGCAATCCAGACAAGCTTTCTCTCAATTCTCTCTCAGGTTTTCAAAATGGCAAGAAGTTTAATTGTGAGCCTCAACCCACATTTATACCCCTTCCAAAAGTGGAAGGCGGCTACACTCACATGATTGCCCAATCCATGATCAAAATCCATGCATACATACTACTTCATGTATATAAATGTAACACCGCCCCCCATATGCATGCATACATACACATATTTTTTCACATATTAACCATGCATGCATATAACAATTATGCATACAGAAAATATTTTATGCATGCCTTTTTAATCATCCATATTAACATATCATGCATACATCTCCTATGCATAAAAATACACATTCTCACATGATTAATTATAGTAATTCATCATGCTCTCACAATCATATAACAAATAATCACGTATTAATTACCTAAGGTGATAACCAAGATATGGTTATCACAACATCGAGATCGATTGAAAACCCATTGAGACCGATCCACAGCAATTGAGACCAATCAAAACTAATTAAGAATCCATCCGTTGATTTGGTGAGTGGTTGTGTGTTAATGGTCTTTGACAAATTGATAAACAATAGAACTTCTTTTTTGTAATAAAAGATCCACGAATGTACTGTTATTGTAATATAAAAAATTTCTTGATTACTTATAATTACTTTGTTACCTGGTATTAGTTATGTATTGATTAAATATTTTAATTCTAGAAATGTGTTGGTTGTTGGGAATTTAACATTGTATCTAGGCTTATAGCATAGTGATTTGTGGTTGACAATGAATCCATTTGGTTAAAGGAAAATTTATAGATTGAGCAAATAGTTGGTTGCATAAGTTCTCGTCAAGAGATTGATTGAGGCTGAAGCCAAGTACATGAAACATGTAATTGATGATACTGTAGATTCATAGATGAAGAAGCCTCAAATATAACTTACCATTACAAGGAACAAGTGAAATGAATTGTGTATGACGTTATAAATCATAAGTTTGAATTATTTTGATGATAAATCTAGGCCCAACCTATATTTTGTTTCCCTAAATATTTTTGTATTTTGACAATATTTTTTATGGTGATGAAGATAGAATTGTGGTTGATGATTTTGGGTTGTTCACAACTATTAGAAGGGATGTTGGATGCATCTGGTGAGATAATGATTACTCTTTTTTGTCATTTCAGTATGGTTGTTAAACCTTTCTTAAGTTTTTTTCATTTTTATTATAGTTCCCCATGTTTTCTCTATTTTATCTTTTTAGAACAAACCATTTTAATAAACCAGGTTATAAAACGAGATTATTAAACAAATTGAGAAGATCAATTTTTACATACTCCTACTGTAATATTTAATATTATGCATGCATTTGCAACCAACCATTTTTGTAAATACTTAACTTTAATATGAGAATATTGTTAAATTTTATAACGAAAATGTAATTTTTTTGAAATTAACTTTGTTATTAAGGAAAACAATATGAATTACAGTTGTGAATTACAAATAATTTGTAGTCACTACAACCCTTCAGCCAACAGATTTCATATTGTGTTGAACATCTAGCACACGATGATTGAGTTTCTCTTAGCAATTCAAATCACATTGGGGTAGAGAAGATTTATTTTTATACTTGGCCTATAGCTTTTTGTAATCTACCCCAATGTAGTTAAAACATAAAACAAATTATATATTTATAAAATTATTCAATGGAAGTAATTTACATATAATACACCTCAGCCTCAGTACATTCATTGTTTTACGTTGCATTTTATTAGTTGTTCTTTTACAAATTACATTTCATTTTAACTTGGCAACATATTTTTTAATAAGACAAATTCCGTCACCAAGCAATGCATGGTGCCACACACTAGTAAGCTATTAACCAAATAAGGTTGGGTTCTATTTAGAAGAGAAGTTATGATGAAAAAGCGTAAGAAGATATCTTTACCCTTGAATCAAACATAATTGAATGTCAACATTAATGAGATGTACCAAGATGCACCGGATCAATTCTCTTCTAAAACGCAATTTTATGGGTGGACATGAGATTAAAAATGATCAATGATTCAGATCTTTTCTTACGATTCTCACCATAACTTCCCTTCTCACATGATACTTCACGTAACCGAATATAATAGGAAACACATTGAAAATGAATAAAAGATTGATATTTTTATACACTTGACATGAATTAATAGTATCATAAGATATATTAGGTGTTTTATATGAAACAACAATATCATTATCACATATTTATTTCTTATTATTGACAGGACTTTATTAGCTTTAAATATATTCTCGAAGGACATAAACGTAGTTCTGATGTATTTGAAAACATCTTTAAAGAATTATTTATTATATATGAAGACAAACATTCGGC